ATATCTTTAATAAATTGTATCTTGCTTATTTTGTGTCTTCTGTCCATTTCTTAAATGGATTGTTTGTTTTTTGGGCATCAATAAGTTCTTTATAGATTTTAGATACTAACCTTTTATCTCATACATCATTTGCAATTATCTTCTCCCATTCTGTAGGCTGCCCTTTAGTTTTGTTGGTTGTTTCCTTTGCTGTGCAGAAGCTTTTTACCTTGAAGTCCCAATAGTTCATTTCTGCTCATTTCCTTCTGACAGTGTTGGTACAGCTGAAGTCAAAGATGTTGTTGCCTATGTTCTCCTCTATGATTTTGATGATTTCCTTCTTACATTTAGGTCTTTCATCTGTTTTGAACTTATTTTTGTGTATGGTGTAAGAAAGTGGTCCAGTTTCATTCTTTTGCAGGTTGCTGCCTCGTTTTCCCAACACTATTTCTTTTTTTTTTTTTTATGTTTTATTTTATTTCTAGGAGAGAGAGAGACAGCGTGAGCAGGGGAGGGTCAGAGAGAGAGGGAGTCACAGACTGAAACAGGCTCCAGGCTCTGAGCTGGCAGTCAGCACAGAGCCCGACGAGGGGCTCGAACCCACGAACCGCGAGATCATGACCTAAGCGAAAGTCGGACGCTTAACCGACTAAGCCACCCAGGCGCCCCTTCCCAACACTATTTCTTGAAGAGACTGTCTTTTTTTCCATTGGATAGTCTTTCCCTTTGTCAAAAGTTAGTTGACAATATAGTTGTGGGTTATCTTGCTCATTTTATTTCCCTTTTTATTTTTATTTTTTAAAATTTATTTTAGAGAGAAAGAGCAAGCAGGGGAGGGGGCGGGGGGGAGAGAGAGAGAGAGAGAAAGAAAGACAGAGAGAGAGAGAGAGAGAGAGAGAGAGAGAGAGAGAGAATCCCAAGCAGACTCCATGCTCAGTGCAGAGCTCGATGTGGGGCTTGATCCCATAACTCCAGGATCATGACTTGAGCCAAGACTAACAGTCGGACACTCAACCAACTGAGCCATCCAGGCGCTCCTTATTTCCCTTTTTAGAATTGACTTCCTGGGAAGCCTGGTGGCTCAGTCGGTTAAGCGTCCAACTTTGGCTCAGGTCATGATCTCACGGTTTGTGGGTTCGAGCCCTGCATCAGGCTCTGTACTGACAGCTTGGAGCCTGAAGCCTGCTTCAGACTCTGTGTCTCCCTCTCTCTCTGACCCTCCCCCGCTCATGCTGTTTCTCTCTCAGAAATAAATAAAATATTTTTAAAAATTAAAAAAAATTGACTTCCTGGGGCGCCTGGGTGGCTTAGTCAGTTGAGCGTCCGACTTTTGCTTAGGTCATGATCTCGTGGTTCGTGAGTTTGAGCCCCGCGTCGGGCTCTGTGCTGACTGCCAGCTCAGAGCCTGGACCCTATTTCAGAGTCTGTCACTCCCTCTCTCTCTGACCCTCCCCTGCTCGCGCTGTCTCTCTCTCTCCTTGAAATAAAAATAAAAAAATATTAAAAAAAAAAATTGACTTCCTAATACCTGAAATTTTTGGTGGTGTGACTCTTTTTCGTTCTTCTGCTCTTTCTTACAACAGCTTATTTCCATGAATATTTGCTAATTCTTTCTGTGAAATCTTCAGCTTAGCTTTCTTCTTTCTTGTTGGATGGCATGGGTTTTGGTAATGTTGCTCTGAAGAGGATTCGTATTTGCTCTACCAAGAGCCCCAGAACCATTGTATATAAATTCTTTCTAAATAAAGTGGACTTAACAAAACTTGAGGTAATACTTAATCAAGAGAACACTCTGAGCAACCTGATTTTATTTTCATTTCTGTAGTCTACATTTTTTAATGCAATAGATCTGGGCTTTGCTTTTTAAAAAAAATTTAATGTTTATTTTTGAGAGACAGAGAGTGAGTGGGGGAAGGACAGAGAGAGAGGGAGCCACAGAATCTGAAGCAGGCTCCAGCCTCTGAGCTATCAGCGCGAACTCACAAACTGTGAGACCATGACCTGAGCTGAAGTTGGACACTTGACCAACTGAGCCACCCAGGCGCCCCATACTACTTTTTGTAAAAGAATAAACTAGATGAAAATGTTTTAATTGAAGACACTCAAATAACCTGTTATTTGCCTTTCCCCTCCTCATTACATAGCAGAGTTCAGCCTCATCAACTTAAGTCAGCCACCCAGCTACAAAGTTTCTCTTTGACACCAGAATCTTGAGTCTCTTAAATTATATATTCACTGGACATCATATACTACTATTACTGTATGTTAAAATGAAGATCCTATGACCCATTTTTGATGTTTCTGGGAAAGGTTGACCATGAACTCTCACAAATTATAGACCTGGGGTTTCAAATTCTAAGGTAAGACTATTCTTTCACACATCAGCTCTCCTTTTACTATCCTGCCCTCCAAGCCAAGCAGAGAGAACTTTTCCGGTCTTCTCTTAGGGCTGACGCATGGTTTTTTGTTTTGGTTTTTTCGTTTGCTCTTTGACACAGGGTGCAAAATTTTTAAAGGCTTCAATTTCATGTAGTGATGTCAGTTTCTATGTCTGAGGGGCTCAGCCTTTTGATGTTAAAACCCTCCAAGCAAGGTTTCCAGGACCATTGCCTTCTTTCCAGTTGCCCCTTCATTCCTGGTGTCTGAGGATTTCCCATTTCTCCTGTGACCACAGCTATGTGATTTTTAAGAAGTGTATTATTTTACACATTTGTTTGTAGTGGGAGTATCTACAGACGATTTTCTCTTGCTATCTTGCTGGAAATCCTCATATGAATTTTAGAAACAAAAAAGTTGTTTTAAAAATGCAGCCCCATTTAAAAATGCATGGAGCCTGCTTGGGATTCTCTCTCTCTCCCTCTGTCCCTCCTCAGCTCTCATTCTCTCTCTCAAAATAAATAAATACAAAATAATTCAAACGCTGAGGTGCCTGGGTGGCTGAGTCAGTCAAGTCCGACTCTTGACTTCAATCCAGGTCATGATCTCACAGTTATGAGACAGCCCCACATCAGGCTCTGTGCTAGGTGTGGACCTTGAGCTCGCTTAAGAGTCTCTCTCCCTATGGGGTGCCTGAGTGGCTCAGTCGGTTAAGCATTTGACTTTTGGCTCAAGTCACAATCTCACTGTTCATTGAGTTCAAGCCCTGCATCAGGCTCTGTGGCGACAGCTCAGAGCCCAGAGCCTGCTTCGGATTCTGTGTCTCCCTCTCTGTCTGCTCCTATCCCTTTCACGCGTACTCTCTCTCTCCCTTGAGAATAAATAGACATTAAAAAGAAATTTAAAGATTCTTTCTCCCTTTCTTAAAAAATAAGTTAATAATTAGTTTTAAAAAATGCAAATGTGCATACTGATAATTTGTTTTCCAATAGTTAATATTTGGGCCAAACAATTCCTTGAAGGTTTAAATGAACACTTGTTCATCAATTACCTACAGAAAACTAGTGAGGGTATTAATGTCTTCAAATATCAATTGGCTGAAGGACTGGGTCAGGACACTTCCGTTTTACTATATGTCTGGTCTTCCATCTTTATCTTGTGTCCAGGCTTCTAATTTTATCTAGAATCTGACCCTCACTTCTGAGCACAGCACCTACTTGCTAAACCGGTTCTGAAAGAACCTGTTTGGTCCTAGGTTATTCCTTCCTTCATTTGTTCATTTAATAATTTATTACAGGGGCGCCTAGGTGGCTCAGTTGGTTAAGTGTCTGACTTCGGCTCAGGTCATGATCTCACAGTTCTTGAGTTCGAGCCCTGCGTCGGGCTCTGTGCTGCCTGCCAGCTCCAAGCCTGGAGCCTGCTTGGGAGTCTGTTGTCTCCCTCTGTCTCTGCTCCTCCCCCACTCACATTCTGTCTCTCAAAAATGAATAAACGTTAAAAAACTAAAAAAAAATTTTTTTTAACATTACAGTGTTTCTGAACATTGTTAACGATTCAGAACTCAGGATTATCTCCTTTCCTGGGAGCAACAAAACCACAGCAAGGTGACCACCTTTGGTAAAGAGCTTTGGCCTGAATTATTCATTTGATATCTATTTATTATCACCTACTACGTGCCAGGCCCTGGTCAACTGCTGAAGATGAAGTGTAGGGTAGGAGAGTCATTGCTCCTTTCTCTATGGAGATGATAATGAAATCAGTCAAAACAAATTCATGAGCACCTAGTATATGCAGCTCCACTTTGAGGAAAACAAAATGAAGACACAGTTCCCGTCTTCTGCAGGCAGTTATAACACAGTATCGAACAAAATTTAATAAAACACTAAATTATGTGATTCAGGCGCAAATACGTTAGTAGACAGGAGAGGTGGGAGCCTAATGAGAGCTGGAGAGTTAGGATTTCTGAGACGTTATACCTAAAGATGGGTAGGGGGACTTTGGGGACAACAGACATAAGGGATGTGGCCTTCAGCCTTAAGACGGACGGACTTTCGGAAATCTCCCACATAACATATCAGAACAGCAGAGGAGTCCTTGCCTGCAGTGTTAGGCCCTTCCAGACCCTGCGGTTTGTCTGCTGTCCTCAGCCACGCCATCCTGCTCACTTCCTGCCCCAGTACCAGAACTGCATTGGGACGTTCTGGAATTAGGCTTTTACGTTTGCGCACACCAGAGTAGCCTCCAGCTGCCATGATCAACCTCATTCACTTATATTCGCCGGTTCTTTTGCTTTCCTTCCTCCCTGAATTCTTAAATAGACTCAGATTAAAAGTAGCCCCTCTTGTAGCGCCCGGGTGGCTACGCCGATTGAGCGTCCGAGTCTTTGATTTCGGCGCAGGTCGTGATCCCAGGGCCACAGGATCTGAGCTGAGCCCAAGATTCTCTCTCTCTCCCTTGCTCTGTCTCGCTCTAAGATTAAAAAAAAAAAAAGATAGCCTTCTTTAAGATTTCAGCGCTAATTCTAACTTCTGTGCAAACGCAAATCATTTCTAACCATGCATCTAAAACACGCAGTTTCTCTATTACAGTTCAGTGGGAATTCCCTTCCCCAAATCGATGCCACGAGACTGTTCTATAAACCTCACCGCAGCCGGTTGAAGCAAGCGTATCGGGATCCCGACTTAACAGCACCCCATCCACGAGCCCACGTTTACAGGGAGTCATCCTTCCGCTCCTGGTTTGCCTCCATTGGTAGACGGGCTGCGGGAAGCACAAAGGAGGATGCCTTCAAGGGAGAGCACTCGGTTTTCCACGGGAGGACCGCAAGGTACAGCTGGGCTTGCCTGAAGTGACCGCTAGGGAAAGCGGGGGGGAGGGGGAAAACGAGGGTCGGAGCAGGAGGGGACCCGGGTGGGCCTTCCCTCCTGCGGCGTCGCAACAACCCGGCGTTGTCGGCGGCTTCTGCTGCTTTCGGGGACCAAGCCACCCACCTGCCACGAGCCGCGCGCCCCGGAACGCCGACGGGCGCCGAATCTCTCGCAGGCGAAAGCCGCCGCGAAGCTCTTGCGCGGGAAATTTCAAGGGGCTCAGAGGCCACGCCCTCCCCAGAACCGGAAGCTTTGCAAGTAGCGCCGCCCGCAGGCCGGCGATTTAGAAGGGACAGGGCCGCCGCAGAAACTGCAACTCCCAGAATGCAGCGCAGGGTTTCCGGTTTCCGGCGAGAGGACCGGAGTGTGTTTACACCGGCGGCTCGGCGGCCGGGTTCCTTCCGCGGGACGGGTGAGGGCTCTGGACCCCGGGTCGCGCGGGGACTCGACATGTGGCCATTAGTTAGCTGGTTCCGTGGGATTGGGGGGGCGGTCGTCACTTAAGAGATGGCGTCCCTGCCCCTTTACTAGCTGTCTGTAACCTTGGGCCAGTGACTTCACCTTTCTGAGTCACGGTTCCCTCGTGTTTAATGTTTAGTTGGTAATACCTGCCTCAAGGAACAGTTGTGAGGATTAAATGAGATATGGTATATAAAGATACCTATTTATTTCCTTCCTTCTCATAAGCCTGGAGATCGGTACCTTGAGGATGCCTTGGGGTCCGCTGTGCAGGTTCAAAGCCACACAGCTTTTTTTTTTTTTTTTCTTCTAAGCTTCCTTACTGGAGGCCTCTTTGGAAGCAATAATGATGATAACGAAGGCTTGTCCTTAGGGTTTTTTTCCACCCTCAGAGTTTCTGATTTTTCTGGGGACCCACATCTGCCAAGCTTGGAGAACAATAAAGGCAAAAACTCTAGTCTTTGCTATCAAGGGCCTTCGGGAATGGGTTGGGGATTGAGGTTGGAGAAGTAAATAGATAGTTGTAACCCTTGCCCTGAGGGAATGTGGGAACAAAGGAGGAACGGGACAGAGAAGGTTGTATTTGAGTTGATCTTGGTAGTTTGCCAAGAGGCCAAAGGGAGGAGGAATTACATGCAGAGTTAGCAGATGAACAGAGATATAAAGTGCAAGATCTTTTTAAGCCAGGAGGCTTCCTAGGGGTGGACTTAAGTGCTGGCAGGGTTAGGGCAGGGCAGGGCTCTGTTGGGGCGGAAGGCAGGCAGAGGGAACAGAAAGAATGTTGTCATCAACAAAACAAATGTCTTAAGCCAGTCTGTGGAGTTATAGACTTATTCATAGAAGTGGTTTTTGTAGTCGTTGGAGGTGTCCTAAGCAGAGGCATGTTTCAATAAGATCTGTGTTTTAAAGCGATGATTAACTCTGGAGAACAAATAGATGGTTACCAGCAGTGAGGTGTCTGGGGGGATGGGTGAAATAGGTGAAGGAAATTAAGAGTACCCTTATCATGGTGAGCACTGAGTAATGTACAGAATTACTGAATCACTATACTGTACACCTGAAAATTATGTGACACTGTTAACTATACTGAATTGAAAAAAATAAAGCGATGTGTTGGGTGGCAGCATGGATGTTTGATAGGGAGAGAGGCAAGAGGCAGGGGCTTGTTATAAAGCTGTGGCAGTTCAAGCAAGAGTTGATGAAGAAAATTGGAAATAAGGAGTATACGTAAGGGAGAAGGTTGAATGATCTCATTTGAACCTCACAACGTTCCATTTTTATGTCCGCTTTAAAGAAGAGGAAACTGAGGTCTAGCGAGCTCAAGTGTTTTTGCTGTTTATCATAGGATGAGTAAAGAGAGGACCCCAGATTCTAGTTCTGGCTTCCTGATGTTGCACCCTGTGTTTTTCCAACGGGTCCCCCTGAATTATCTTTCCTTCAACCCCTTGGTGGGGTGGGTGTGGTGTAGGGTGGTGGGCTCTCCTTTAACCACTAAGGCTTTGTTCCTTTCCAGGGAGAAAGAGAGAGCGCGAAAGAGAGAGGATGTCTCTCTCAGATTGGCACCTGGCGGTGAAGCTGGCTGACCAGCCACTTGCCCCAAAGTCTATTCTTCAACTGCCGGAGTCAGAACTGGGTGAATACTCACTGGGGGGCTATAGTATTTCATTTCTGAAGCAGCTCATTGCTGGAAAACTCCAGGAGTCTGTTCCAGACCCTGAGCTGATTGGTGAGTCTCCGAACAGGCTGGGCTGCTGCTCTGCTCTCTTTCTGGGGAGGACACTGGAATTACAGGGGTAAATTAAGAGTTTGGGATACGTTGCCTCATGATGTTAATGTTCCAGGGAAGTGAGTGTGGTTGCGTGAATAGAAACACAAACCATGAAATTAAACTATCGGTTGCCATTTCAGTGTGCATTATACTGAACTCCTTTGTCACAGGGTTCCTTAACCATGACATTGTTAAATTCTTTCTCTGAAAGAGCAAGAATTTGGGATAGGCTAGGGAAGGAGGAGCTCGTTGGGGGAGGCCCTCAGTATTTGGCATTTGAGATGGGTTTTAAGGGATGATTAGAAGTTTTGTTTGCTTGGTTGCTTGGGTAGCGGGAAGGCAGTAAAAAAAGGAAAGGAAGATGGCAAGGGTATTCTAGGTGGAGAAAGAAGGAATTAAAATATAACATGAAATTATATTATAAGCATAATTTTTAACAGCTGAGGTGTCCAGCTGGCAAAAAGTATGTTCTTAGTTATAAAAACACTGGCTTCATCCTTTTTGTTGTTGCATTTTTCCATTCATTAAATCAATCAGTCAGCATGATATTAAGCTCTAGAGCTTACCTGTGCAAAGATTCTGTGTTGTAGGAGTTTGTACTTGCTAATAATTTACTAAAATGTGTTTATTCATTAAGAGTACTTTTTAAAGCATGTATCCTTTTTCAGCTATCCGTCCAATCACGGTAAGTTAGGGGCAGAAACTGTCTACACTGTTTTGAAGAGCAGAATATAAATGGACAGTTCTCTTCTTAGATCTGATCTACTGTGGCCGGAAGCTTAAAGATGACCAGACCCTTGACTTCTACGGCATCCAACCTGGGTCCACAGTGCATGTTCTGCGCAAGTCCTGGCCCGAGCCTGATCAGAAACCAGGTGAGGAAGGGCCCTTAGACAAGCAGAGCTTCTGTAAGCTCTGACAAGAGCTTTCTGACAAGGAAAGGGTCTGTGTGCTCTTGAGGGCTGGCCTGGGTGGAACAAAGCAGTGATTTACTGAGATGGTGATAGAGGAAATCTATATTATGTATTGGATTAGTCCTATTGATAATAGAGTGCAATTTTGATTTTTTTTTAAATGTTTCTTTATTTTTGAGAGAGAGAGAGAGTACGAGCGGGGAAGGGCAGAGAGAGAGAGAGACAGAATCCGAAGCAGGGTCCAGTGTCGGAGCTGTCAGCACAGAGCCTGACGCGGGGCTCGAACCCACGGACTGTGAGATCATGCCCTGAGCCGAAGTCAGATGCTTAACCGACTGAGCTGCCCAGGCACCTCAATAGAGTGCAATTTTGATTTACTTGCTGCCAACATTACTAACAGAAGGGGGCTTGTTTCTCTACTTTTTAAGTTCATTACCCATTGTATTCTAGTGGGTAGGGAGTGTGTGTCTATTTAAACTTTAGGTTAACAGTTTATTTCTTCGTGAACTTTGGGTCTCTTTGTTCTTGCTAGAAAAAAGCTGAAACTCTGTATGTTCTCCTAATGCTGTAGCAAATCTCCCCACAAGCAGCCCCAGACAGCTCACTTGTGCTGTACTGGTAGTTTATTCTCCCGAAGCTTGAAAATATTTGATCAGTACTAAAGTAGCTCTTGGAGAAAATATACAAAACCTCTAATGCCGTTTTCACTTCTTAATAAAAAGTGCTGCTTGGAATTCACAATTTCAGTTTTACGTCTGTGTTTTAAAAGCTTCCCTGGGGATAAAGCTAAGCTGTGAAAAGAGATTTGTTAAACTGCCCCTCTGACATATTTTTGAAATGTTCATGACTGCTTGTGATTGGTTATCAGTGTGAAATATCCCCTTTTTTCAATTCTACACATAAAGGACAAAAAGATCTTTTGTCCACTGATGGGAAGTGAGAAAGAGAAAGGCAGATTCTGACATTCAGGGGTTGGCCTGGCCCTTGGCTACCCCTTGAAACATGAACAATTTCAACAGATCGCCAATACCTATAAGGCCACTCACTCTGAGGCTATCACAGACCGAGAGAAAAAAAAAAGATCCCTCTCATTTCGGAACAAAGACAAAACCCTGAACATGGTTCACATCACACAAGTGACCAAATAGCCCTCCATCCTGGCTATTATGAGCAGCTGTTGCTTCTTTACTAGTTAAGCTTTGGCCTCGCTCTAGTTTCCTTTCCTGCTAGGTGAGAATTACTAGCTATCCAATAATAGAATCACCCCCACTTCCTGACAACATTCAATTCACAGCAACACCCTACTTCTTGAAACCAGCCCCCCCAACCCCAAATCCCCCAGCCAAAGCCCAAATCTTATAAATCTTCTCTAACATCATCTTTTTGAAATCCCCACCCCACCCCCCTACTTCTCGTGCTGTGCATCCTCTCGGTACAGAGCCGTGAACCCAACTTGGTCCACTGCAGGTGTGCCCCTCTGGTCTTTGGCTGGAGGGCACTGACAGAAGGAAAGTAACATTTGTTCCTTCTTCAAGCCAGATTGTTTCTCTTTGATACCCCATTTACTCATTAGACCTGCAGGCCAGGTAACAGCATTAGCATTTGATAGATGAAGAAAAGGAACGTTAGAAAAGCTATTTATTCAAGGTCACCTACTTAGAAAATTAATGCAAGAGCTGGGATGTGAATCAGGTTTTCCTGGCTCTGGAGCCCACATTCTTTCCACTGGGCTGGCTGCTGCTTACTTCCAAAGAGAGATGGAGATTAGCTCAGATATGTTAGAGACAGCCATAGCTCTTAGCTGATTACTGGCTTGAGATAGGTAGAGTCCTTTTCCTCCTCCCTTTGGCCTGCAGATTTATCTTTGGAACACGTGCATGTTTTATTGGGGGTGAAAACAAACTTAGATCTGAAAAGAAATGGTTTCACGGTGGCATTTTGGATATATTTTAATGCTCTTATAAAAGGAAGCACAGTTCTGGGTCTCCCACTGGATAAGGGCCTTTAGGAGAACTGTCAGTCCCTCCCTTCCCACCTGGATCCCTTTGATGGTTCTCTGTGGC